GGTTATCCTCTAGAATGTTAAGCGTAATATTCTTCAAGGAACTTCCCGGTAAATGAGTTATCCTGAGTGTACTAGGGATAGTACTTTTTCAGGAACTTCCCATTTATTGGCATTAATTGCCCGATGCCTTCTTGAGTAATCAGGCGATAGGCGCCGTTTGAGTAGACTGTGTCTATGACAAACGGTCCTTCCTATTTGGGTTCAAATTTACCTTTCTTCTTGGAGTTGAGAATTATCGGTCGGCGGGCAGCGAGGACCAGATCTCCTTCCTTGAAGCTTCTCTGTCGGACTCTTTTGTTAAAAGCCCTAGATATTCTGGCTTGATAAAACTCAATGTGTTGTTGAGCCTCCAAGCGCTTTTCATCCAACCTCTCGAGTTCTTCGAGACATTTTTTATGCTGTTCTTCTGTTGTCATCTCGGTTGCGAGAGCGATCCGAAGAGATGAGATTTGAATCTCCAACGGTAGCACAGCTTCACATCCGAATATGGGGTAGCTCCTGTAGGTGTGCATATGGTGGTGCGATAAGCCCAAAGTGCTTCACCGAGTTTATCGTCCCAGTCTCGTTTATTGGTCTTTACGAGCTTTGACAAAATCTTAATGATCGTTTTGTTGAACGCCTCAGCTAATCCATTCGCAGCGGGATAATAAGCTATCGACGAAACATCTTCAATTTTAAACTTGTCACAAAACCTGATGAAGACGTTGCTTATGAACTGTGGACCGTTGTCATGAATGATCCGTCTTGGCACGCCGTGTCGGTATATGACATGATGCTTGATGAAATTGATGACGTTGTTCGTCTTTACTTCTTTAAGGATCGCGAGGATGAACCGATCACCTTTGACTGAAGGGGGAAAAATAGGACCGACAATGTCCATACCCCATGTCTCGAACGGCCAAGATGTGGTTGACGTGTGCAACTGCTCTGGCGGTTGATGCATATAATTCGCATGTATCTGGCAAGCGTGGCATTCTCGTGCGTATTCGATTGCGTCACGAACCATCGTTGGCCAAAAATATCCCATTCTTCTGATTGATCATACAGTTTGGGACCAGGCTGATGCGCACCACATTCTCCTTCGTGTGCTTCCTTGAGAACTTCTTCTGCTTCTTCGTTCGAAAGGCATCGGAGTAATAAATCATCGTACCCTCTACGGTATAACGTATGGGTCTTGGTATTATAGAAGAATCTTGGTGCTCTTCGGCGGATTGATTCTCTTTCTTTTACATCCTCTGGCAAAATACCATACTGGACGTAGTCAATGATAGGAAAACGCCAATCTCGGGACTCAGACCCAATTCGAGTTGAGTTCACCTCCTTGGCACTTATGTCTCTATTATCTTCCTCTTCAATATTCATATCATATATGGGTATGCAGAGCTGATGCGTCCTCACTGTGACTAACAGCTCAGTTTTGAGAGACTGCGCAAGTGATACCGCTAGTGCTGCCAGTGCATCTGCATAAGAGTTCTGGAGACGAGGGATGTATTCAATAAAGAATTCTTCAAAAGATTCTACCATTTTGATGGCCTCCTGGTGGTACGAGATCAGGTCTTGGTTCCTGACTTCATACTCTCCACGGACTTGGTTGACTATCAATTGAGAGTCCCTAAAAGCTTCGAGATATTCGACCCCCAGCTCTTTGGCGAAACTGAGTGCAATGAGAAGCGCGTTGTACTCGGCTACATTATTGGAGCACGGACTAGTCAATGAATAAGCTCGAGGCATCACATGCTTCCCCGGGGAGATTAGGACAACCCCAACCCCGGAGGAAACTGTAGAACCTCCCGGGGTTATTACCCTATTAACTGCCCTCGAAGCACCATCGAAATATAATTGCCATACTTGTTGGTGCGACGTAGTGTTAACCTCGTGGGTTTTATCCGGCAAGTCATCATATACTTCTACCGTATCTGTGGTCGGGTTTGCCGCCAAAAGATCGCAAATTGCTTGTCCTTTGATCGACTTCTGCTGTTTGAAGTGCAAATCATATTGGGACAAGAGAAGGGCCCATTTCTCTAACCGCCAATTCATAGAGGCCGATTGCGTCATAAATACCCGTACTGGATTAACGTTGGAAATGATGTTAATCGTCTGTCCAACCAAGTAATGCTGCATCTTTTACATTGCGAATACCAATGCGAGGCATTCTTTCTCAATCATCGGATATCGAGACTCGGCGCCTATCAAGATCCGACTTAGGTAATAGCCTGCCTGTTCGTGACCATTATCATCGTCTTGTGCTAGTAAGGCACTTATCGAGTGGTTCATCACCTTGAGATAAATCAAGAACGGTCTACCTGATTTTGGTGCGACGAGAACAGGAGGATTCGTCAGATATGTTTTAATATCTTCGAATGCTTTTTGGCAGGCGTCGTGCCAGATAAAAGACACCTCTTTCTTGTTTAGTTTAGAGAATGGTTGGCACTTCCCAGAAAGATTCGAGATGAACCGCCGGATGTAAGCTAAACGCCCTTGCAATCCTCTGAGCTCTCTTAGATTTCTAGGGGGTTGCAGTTCGTGTATTGCCTTCACCTTATCAGGATCGATATGTATACCCTTAGTGGTGACGACGAATCCAAGGAATTTTCCGCTGGACATTCCCTAAACGCCCTTGCAATCCTCTGAGCTCTCTTAGATTTCTAGGGGGTTGCAGTTCGTGTATTGCCTTCACCTTATCAGGATCGATATGTATACCCTTAGTGGTGACGACGAATCCAAGGAATTTTTCGCTGGACATTCCAATGAAGGATTTAGTGGGGTTCATCTTCAATTGATGACTCCGCATGAGCTCGAATATCGTCTTCAAGTCCTTGATGTGATCCTCTTTGTTGCTGCTTTTTACAACCAAATCATCAACGTAGCATTCGACTGTTTTCCTGAGATGTTCTTGGAAAATCTTAGTCATTGCTCGTTGGTACGTGGCGTCTGCATTCTTTAGACCGAAAGGCATCACGGTGTAGCAAAAGACACCGAGGGGCGTTCTGAACGCTGTATGCTTCTCGTCATCTGGGTGCATCTTGATTTGGTTATATCCTGAAAAACCATCCATAAAAGACATTCTCTCAAACCC